ACAAATGAGTTATTTAATTAAAATTATTAAGAACAATTCACAAATCTCATTCTCCTTATGTAAAAAAATATCAATAAAAAAAACCATCCATCTTAAAACTCATTTGTATGCAAATTTTTTTTTCGATTTAACATATCATTTGGCCTAAAAAAACATATTATTATTTCTAAATACTGTACCAAATCGCAAGAATAAAATTATAATAATTGGAGGGATAAAAATGTCTTATTTACGTAGCGGCATTGAATTTTTAATTTATTACTATCATATCGATAACAAGTTGTCTAATACGCTCTCAACTGAATTAAGACAAGATTTATACCGCAAAGTCTCAATTAATTTCCTGCGAAATCAGCTCAAAAGCATCGTAACTGCATCCCTTAAAACATATAAAAAGGCCTTTAATCTAATCTAATTAATAGAAACTTATACGGGTCCGGCTAGACAAGAACCTTTAATTGCTCTAGACAAAGACCACTTTCTTTTTACATCCAATGTACAATCTTTTCTCCCTTTTTCGAAATCGGTACTTCGATCTTCGACATCTATAGGGAATAAATGGAAAAAGGTTCAGCTGAATTGGTGAGACAATGTCGATTTAAGATGTAACGGGTTCTATTTGCGTTTCTGACTAATCCTCCAGGGAAAATTCTTTCGATTACGTTGTGTGATTATAAAATCGCTTTCTGTGGAGGAACCGTAATTATGATAATGTGAGTTTCTATTTATAGTCAAGTGAAGTTGGGATAGATTTCCTCTCACATCCATCAGTGCTCGAGAGTTAGAATGAAGATGAGTCATAATCAAAACAAATATAATTTATTAATCCTTTAACGTCTCAACAACCCAGGCTAGGAAATGCACCTGTAATTAAATGTTGGAGCAAAGTGAGGTAGACGAGATATTTAACATTTAATTAAGAATTGAATCACTTATTTTTGTATCGTTTTGGTAGTATACGTTCTAAATAATTGTAATTCCGTGCTGAGCTATTCAACTTCTAGTCGATATTATTCTAATTCAAGTATCTTATTGACTAAATCGTCAATTATCAATTTTAAATATTAAGTAACAAAGCCACGAGTCACTCTCGACTAGAGTTGTACTACTTTACGTTAATTATTAATTTCTATCATATAACTCTTAACCTCTCTCTCTCGAACCTAAAAGTTAATGCTTAAATACAAGCCTTAATTTACATAAACCGCATCTTCTTCGGGAGAAAGTTTTCAATAGGACAATATTTAAAGAAATAGTTTTTCTCCAAGAGGATTAGTTGGAGACTCGCGAATAGACCCGTTACAAACTGATAGAGGGAGTCGATCGTCTTCAGGCTAATACTGAAGTTAGAATGTTAGAGTTATAATAATTGAAACTAAACTAATTCACTAAGGAGGTATCCCAAACGAAGAAAGATAGTCAGTGCTGTGGAATTAATTGTGAAAGATAAGTGATTGAAAATTAACTGTTACAGATATTTAGATTAGTAATTAAGTTGACCACTCCCTTCGCTTAAGCTAAAGTTTAATATTAAATTGATATGTAAAATAAAGATGTTGAAATTTTATTAAAATGTTTTTTTTTTTATTCTGTACATCTAATTTCACCAGTGATCGCAGATTTTGACAACATGCTCAAGATTCACCTCCTATTTTGAGTGATAATTCAATGCATGAAGAGAAATTATGTTCGCAAAGCATATTGTATTGACGTTATGCGATCTGAACTTTGATGTGTTAATGTATCGTAATGACAAGATAAGTGTTCATTATAAACTCTATTGGGTAACAGTTAATGGAATTGATACGTTATTATAGTAAATAGAAATGGTCTTCAAACTGTGTTCCACGGAATCCTGGGGTTCCACAAGGCATAACCAAGTGTTCCACAATTCACAATAAAAAATTCAAGCTGGAATAAATCTGTATGCAAAATGAATTCCCGTTCTCAATGGAGTTTATATAGTTACAAGTATCTAAAAATCACCCTGTTCATTAAAAGTGAAAATTTTATTTATATTTAACTATACTACGCAACACTTTTGAAATTTTTATTATAATATAATAAAAGAATATTAAAATGCTTTATTTCTATATGTATACTTCTTACTAGTGAATATTCTTTTGTCTACTATCTCAGGTTCCATGAGATAATTTTATACTCCTTAGTTAGGACAATGTCTTGCAAAACTAAATAGTTTCCTAATGAAAAAAGCACATTTTTGTATTTGTGGAAAAAATGCCTATTATGAAGGAAAGGACACTTTGATCCCACATTAATATTATTAATGAGTTAATTATATTAAAAAATTAGATTAGAATTTTTTAATAATAAATGCAGTACTTTTTTTAATTACCATTAGATGAAGTGCCTCTAACGTGTTGATCTACTTTAGATATTATTTTGAGATATATTCTTCGAAGTATGAGTATGGAATGGGGTTCCATGAAAACACTTTCTAGTTCTAGGGGTTCCGTGAGCTCAAAAAGTTTGAAGACCACAGGTATATACGTTCAATAATGTGAAATGAAGTAAGTTATGTATTCTAATTTTAGCCTTTTTATTCAAAACACTTTGAAAGAATGAAAAATATAGATAAATTCAACTTATTTCTCTAAATTATATTTTGAATCATAGTAATGTATTTTATAGAGGTCTGTTAGGAAAACATGATCACTTATGTTACATTGTATCAAGTGACCAATTTAAACAACTAGATCCTTCCTGAAAACGTTTCCATATATTCCAAAACAACAATAAACTTTAAACGATAATAATAATTGTCTCCAAGATAAAGCTTTACCTTTCGATTTTCCACCAGTTTGTTCGATGACACTAAAAAGATAATAAAGAAAAATTAGAATACAAATTGATATAATTATTATTTTATTATTAGAATCACACTTCTTGGCTGCGTGAAGGCTCTTGGGGACGGACATTGCTATTTTGAAACTCGGTCTAGTGGTGCTGAGACACGGCACTCCACTTTCCAGACTTTTACATCACATCAACGAGAAGACTTTGAGCCACCAAGACTGAGCCTCAACCACGCTAATCAATAACCTATTCTATAGTATGATGTTTAATGAAATAAACCAAAATTTATACTTTTTACTTGATAGTAGACATTATTTGTCTAGTTTGGCCGAGTACAGTGAAATACGTTTAATGCGAAAACGCTTACGGCGAAATATCGGTTATCACTAAATAATGCAACGGTCCCGATAAATCCTGCGTATTTTTATTCATTTTTTCTCTTAACACGAAAGTAAAATCGCTTAAGATGAAAAGATTTCCCTTCCGGGATAGAGAGAAACTTATGAAATGTTTGAGACAATTTCTGTTTTATTGAACTGTTTACTGTTTCATCAGAAGAATTCGTTGCAGTAGATGATGATAATGTATGCACAGTTTCAATTATGGCAGACAAAGGCATTTTGGAATTTGTTCTCAAATCTTAAAACATACCCTTGATGTAGATTCGAACGATGAAAGAGAAATGAATAATGCAGCTCCTGTTTCCATGTCATCCAAATTGAGGAACATTATGAAAAGTATGCGTGGTTATTTAGACTAACATTCCAATGGAGAAGCGAATAACAAAATGGACGGCATCGAATAATTTGTTGACTATTTGATGCTAAAAAAATACAAACAAAAATATCAGATTATTTTCAAAAACTCAATAAATGTTTTGTTTTCCAAAAAACTTAAAAGTTTGGTTATTATATTCATTAAGGGGACAGGGTACGATTTACACAAAATTTTTTAATTTAATGATTTTCAACATTTTTTTGGTTGTCCCCTATGTATATGTATTATGTGAAACAGATTTTGTGCTCAAAATTTCTTAAAAAGCTAATGATTTAATTTTTTAAGGAAAAAATTTAAAACTTATGAAGGGATTTTAAAATGCTACCCCTGCAATACAAATTGACATACATGTATGAAATTGGGTTTACAGGTACGTCAAACTATGTATAACAAAAGTTGGCATGGGGTTTGCGATAACATGATTGGTATTCGTACAATACTTCTTTTTATGAATGCTTAATGAAAATTCCTTAAAAAATGTGTGAATTCTAAATTCAATTATTTTTTTAAAAAAATAAATATCGCTTTGATTGAAAAATGCATACCAACTTTTATTCCATGTACTATTAGAAACAAGTGAAAAAAATTTCCAAATATTAGACCCAATAGGAAAAAGGCCTTAGCATTTTAAATGAAGTCAAACTACTTATTTTATCTTTCTGAGATAAATCAGTTTAAAGTTTTGATTTGCCATTGGGTTGTCAACAAAAACGAACGTAAAAGTTATCACAACTCAGTGTTTTTTAAACTTAGAGCTTTCAAATTTTGTGAGAGTATAGAAAAGTATATAAAAAATAATCTAGGTTAAAAAAATTAGATTTGATTTTTTCACCGATTTTTGTCAATTGAATCGAACTGTGTCCTCTTAAGTTCTTGTTTCATTGATTTTTATTGAATACATGGACATATTTACATACCTATGTAAATTAAATGTACTCCAATAAACTTAATTTTGTTGAGTATATGTTTTTGTCTTGTAATATCCTTTAACACGAAATTATTTTAGAACGAACAAATATTTCAGTCCCTTCAATTTCGTGTTAAACGATTTTCGCAGTATTTGGATTAGAAGCTTCAGGATTTTGAGAGTTTGGGACATGTAGAAATGAAAATTTGTGCATATATCAACATGGCTTTTCCCGCTTTTAAATTAATTGGATAGTACCTTATATAATCCCCAATTGTTACGAAATTTTGATAGTGCTATATCAATGATGTCGTCTTTTTGTCATTCGAGACATGGTTCGGAATGAAACTCTCGTAATCAGTAAGTTATGGAAATATGGTATAACATTATTTGAACTAAATTAAATTATCGTCTTAAAATGAAGCTAAGTTTAAAAAAAATTAGTTCATGCTTGTCAAAAGAAGAAGAAAAATTGCTAAGTAAAAAATAGTAAAAATACTTGAAGATGCGGGGAATTGAGCCCCGGGCCTTTCGCATGCGAAGCGAACGCTTTACCACTGAGCTACATCCCAGTTACATCCTTCCAAGCAAACAAATAAATAATTTGATACATTGAGCAAGTATGAATATTGTATATTTGTAAAAATTGTTCTTTATGTATAATTCTGAATTTTTTTAGTGAAACTTTTTCATGATTCTTTATAATGTTACTTATGAATCAGTTAGAATTTTTATGACGCACCGAATTTCGCTACTACTGTATTCAATTAATTATTTTCTTCGTTTATTTTATTTTATTTTTTTTTTTTTTGTAGACAAATGAACTCTTAAGTAACTCTAGGGCTTTGACGACGGTCTTCGTAATTTTGAACATCGGTCAATGTCAAAAGGGTGACATCTGACCTGACACATCACTTTCTAATTTTTCATAGCCCACTAGCGTTTGAGCCTCAACAGATTTAACGCGCATCAGCTTATCTGCATGGTGAATCTTCAAAGTCACCACATAATAAGTAAAGGTTCCAAAACAGAGATGGGAATTAAGTCTATCTCGATCGACAGGTGGACCACCAAGGCATTTTGAGGTGATCGCATCTACTAAAACCTAAGAGGCGCATACTAAAAGAAACATATTTATGAAACAGCGACGCCAGCTACAGTGGAGAATCAACTTTTCACAATTAAGCAAATGATTCGATAAATTTATAAACGACAAACGTACCTTCACTGGAAGTGCACGATGACATTTAACTCGTTTGCTGCCGCTTTAGGGGAAAAATGCGATCACTCTGCAATGCCAGTTGAGATAAAAGGACTTTTAGATGTAAGGTTGACTACATTTTGGGAACCGTGATTTAAATGCGTATAAATGGATAATTTATGTATTTAGTGTCACTTAGATTAGAATACATGTATAAAATTGTTTTAAGGACATTATAACAAAAAAAATTATTTAAATACAATATTTTGGCAAAAATTAACTTAGAATAACCTTTATTCCAAATGTTCTCCTTTTGTAAGAAATGCTTCTATTGTTTTAATATTTTGCCTGTATTCAACTCAGATCTCTGTACAGAGGCTCAACTAGAATTTTTGAAGTGCATAACTCGAAGTCGGTTTATCCATGTTTTACGAAAACAGAAGGGAGAAATTTTAAGAAAATACGCCGATAATTATTTCAAATGGTTTGTAACTCGAAAATAATGTGAATTTTCAAAATTCGTAGTTGAGCCTCTGTACAGAGGTCTGGGGTTTATATACGGCAAAATATTAATAAATAGAAGCCTTTTTCACAAAGGAGAACTTTTGGGAAAAAATGTTATTCTAAGTTAATTTTTTGCCAAAATATTGTATTTAAGTAATTTTTTTTTGTCATAATGTGTCCTTAAACTAATTTTATACATGTATTGTAATCTAAGTGACACTAAATATCATGAAAATTATACATTTATGCGCTTTTTTAAAATCATGGTTCCGAACGTAGTCGGATACCTTAAAGAATTAAAAGTTTATGCTATCAGTGAAAAGTTAGAATACAGGAAACACATGAGCGAACACCGGACACATTTCCAATGGTTGAATCAGCCGGTAGGAGCCTTAAAGGAGCCGAAAAGAGAAAGGATTGTCGTATGTACATCTTGAGGTGATTGCTTCTTTCGTGCGCAGCTCCACGTTAGATAAACAATGATCCGTTATTAACTGTCGAATGCTTTTTTTACGCACTCGATATCCGAGTGTATCTGCTGTTCCTGTATCTCATTTGCTGATAAAATTTCATAAGACTGGCTCAATAAGCATGAAGTTCAGAACTGGAAGTCAAAAGAAGCTTAACAATTCACATTTAAGAATTCCGATTCGAAATTGAAAGCGATTAAAAGATCACAGATGTAAGTATGTGTGATGTAATATTAATGTATAATGAGAATGCAGAATACCCCCTTATCTTGTTTTGCTTTTTTTATTTCTATGTAAAGTGATTTGGTCGTGGTTAAAAAAGGTATTTCTCGATTTACTTCCGTATGAAACGCTTATATAAAATAATCAATATAATCATTTTAAGTCACTTTCAAATCAATAGCAAAGAAAACATAATCCTATTCATATGTTAAAGTGACATTAACTATTTTCCCTGTTTTTTCCCAAGATGAGCTCTGGCAGGTGAAACATACCATCCCGAGTGTAGCTCAGGCACTTTGAAAATGTACACTGCGCATTCAATCTTTTCCGAATCATTTCACACGGGCTTTTTATAGTTTCAAATAATAGAAAAGTATCAGTCGGTGAATTTTCTGTAAAACAGGACGTCCTTCTGCTAAGCACCTCTCTTCACGTTTGTCTGAAAAACACTTTGTTGACTACATTCCTACAACAGAGAAGAAAACTAATCCAACACGACAGTGTAGTATTTGCTGTTCAAAGAGAGACGGTAAATGTAAGAAGGTTAGAAGATAAACAAGATTTTACTGTCCAAATTGTGATGTTGGGTTATGCGCAGTACCGTGTTTTCGAATTTATCAAACACGGTCAAAGTTTGATTAATAATTTCGTAATCAGTAATTAATAATGCAGCATAAAATTAATTTGATCAACAACTGCACAACAAAATATTGATATATAGCTCCAGTCTATACTATAGAGATGAAACATTGTTTTATTTTTGCCTACCACTCCTTTTTTTATTGTCTCTTTTATTTTTTTAAATTATAAATGAGTTTGTTTATGGTTTAAGGTTTTCTATAACAATCTCTGAAATTATATTTTGTTAAATGTCAAAAAATGATGGTGGTAATGGCATATTTTTAAGAGACAAATATTGTTAAATCTCAAAAAACTATTAATTATAAAAAATATCAGAATTAGGAAACAAATTTTTACAATATTTTTTTTCACTAAGTAAATTGATAAGCTTTTTAATTCGAAACATAGTCCTGAGTTCATGGCATTTTTATATTTCATTTTTATGTAAAATAAAAATTTTTATTAACCAACTCTGATACTTTTAAGTTAAAGAAAATGTGTTTCTTAAGAAGTAATGAAAAAGGCTTTGTGGTATCCGTCACAATGCTATTGCCAACTCAGACCACAAACTTTAATGAAAATATAAGAATAACTTTTTCATCCGATCAAAAATAAAACGGAAATTCCTTAGAAATATTAAAAATAGAATATAATATTTGCATTCACGTAACATACAACAAAAATTCAACTTTTGAGTTTGTAAGAACAAAATTCCAAATTACAAGGTTAATCGTAAGGGGATAAAACCAAAACATAATTCTTTCAATTTTTTAAATGTCTTCATGCAATTTTTCCATTGAATATTTTAAAGAAATTTTTGGGAATTAAATATAACCTATCTGTTCCATACAGTTTAATTTCGCCACTAATTTTAGTGATTTTAATACTTCGAAGAAAAAATATGGACATAGCATCTAGGTGCTTCAAATTAACGATGCGCAATTTTCCTTATCTTTATTAATTTCAACGATAATGTCAGCAACACACGCTTCAATTACGATAACTTTCCGCAAACACGAAAGGTCAGAGCCTCGTTAATTCATCTTGCACATTCTGCTCAACTGCTCATGTACAGAAATGAGTGAGAAATGGTTGTTAGGCTAACGATGAAAATTTGATCTTATTTATAGAGGAAAGTTGTTAGATATTTAATAGTACGAGAAATAAAGGATAAATTACTAGAAATTTATTCCTCACCTGTACTTTCTTTCTCCTGATAGCTTTTTATTTAAATAGTTGATAAATTCCTCAAAATTTAGGACATGGTGTTGAACACAAGTACAAATTTAAAAAATTACATTATGACTTAGTGTGTGAGTTAATCAAACGATCTATATATTGTTAGGTAGATCCGGATTCGAGGATTTTATGCAAAACAATCCCAAAGAAAATAAACAGTACTTTAAGGTATCCGACTACGTTCGGAACCATGATTTTGCAAAAGCATGTAAATGGATAATATTTATGATATTTAGTGTCACTTTTGATTGAATACATGTATAAAATTGTTTTAAGGATATTATGACAAAAAAAAGTATTTAAATTTAATATTTTAGCAAAAATTAACTTAGAAAACCTTTTTTTCCCAAAAGTTCTCCTTTTGTACAAAATGCTTCTATTGTATTAATATTTTCCTGTATTCAGCCCCAGACCTCTGTACAGAAGCTCAACTAGAATTTTTGAAATGCATAACTTGGAATTGGTTTATCCATGTTTTACGAAAACAGAAGGGGGAAATTTTAAGAAAATACACCGATAATTATTTCAAATGGTTGTAACTCTGAAAACAATTTGAATTTTTTCAAAATTATAGTTGAACCTCTGTACAGAGGTCGGGGTATATACAGGAAAATATTTCAAAGCTTTTTTAAAAAAAGAAAACTTTTGGGAAAAAAGGAAATTTAATTTTCCAAAATTTTGCATTTAAAAAATTTTTTTTGTCATAATGTCCTTAAAAAATTTTATACATGTATTATAACAAGTGACACTAAATATCATAAAAATTTATACATTTTTGCTTTTAAAATTAGGGTTTCCCGAACTAGTCGATCCCTTTTAAGACATAATTTATTATAAAAAATCCAATCATTTAAATACAGGATTCAGCAGGTATCCCCAAAATAAATTCCCAAGGCCCCCCACACCTTCAACAGCAACAAACAAATAATCAGGTTTAAAATACACTTGTAAAGATTATTCCAAACACAGCCGAGCCTTTTAGTCAAAACATTCCTATACTCGCTGGTTTAATCAAGACGACTACGCGGCTGGCATTGTCAATTTATAAAAACCGATGGAAACTTAGAAAATTCCACGCGTCAAGAGCGGGGAAATTTGGGAGATCCTTTCCCTTTTAAAAAATCCGAGGGGTTTCCCAACTCCCAACACAGTCACCAATGACGCCAAAATGGTCCTTAATGATGCCAACTTGGCCTACCACCAAGACCCCGTTTCATTAAATCGCCCTTATAATGTAAGGGGCGGCTTTGCTTGTAAATAGTATAGTTTTAACATAAAATAAATATAACATAAGAGCAATATAAATTTATTAAAC